CTTGTCGCGGCGTCGCACACGCCGCACCCGCCGCGTATCGCAGGGTTGCGATGGAAGATTGGAGCGCGCAATTTGTGAGGTAGGGGAGGTAGGGAGTCCTTTAATCACTTGAATTGGCTGACAGCTTTCTTCAATTTCAATGCAGTCTTGATCGTCGCTTACATAGGAGGAGTCACTTTTATAAATCAAGCTTAATAAACATGAAAACGAAAAAGAAACAGAAGAAAACACGATCAAATCCAATAAAAAAGCAAGGCAATCAACGAAAAATACCGCGTCCTATCGATTGGCGGGGAGGCTCGGTGAGTACGACAATTGCAGTGACATTTGCCGCATGCTGAAAGGGAGAATACCGCGGTAGGGAGAAGTTCCGTTACCCGTTAGGGAGTTATAAAGGCTCAAAGATTGCCCCATGGGTATCCTCGGACGAGTTTCACTGGCATTGTAGAGGCCGCACCGATCACAACGAAACCCATGTAGGAAGTTCAAACAACTCATGACCCAGAGCGACAATGAAAGACAATTCTGTACAGTTCTGGCTTGATGTAGTCAGCTCTTTGTGCTATTGCAATAACTGAACTCTCGTCTGAATACCCCTTCCATGATATATCCGTCATGGCAATCTCGTCCAACCTCTATTTCCCTACTTTTGAGGAGACATAATTTTCTCGAAATCGACGACTTCTCTCGCTTTCTTTACTACCGATGAACTATTCCCAATCTATACGAATAAAAACGGGTACCTCAAAATTATCGTGAACTGTGCCTTCAACCATGAGCATCGGTATAAACGGGTCGCCTATCGCCGTTTGCTCTTAAAGCTAGCCCGAAGTATGATGGCGAGTAGCGAGCATGTACATCGATTAGCACCCACCAACAATGATAGTTGGCTTCGTTGGTGCAGGCTTCGTTGCGTGTGGTCACAAGATACAGAAACAGTATTCAGTCCGACGCTAAAAATTGACCGGCGGAATTGTAGAGTCCATGGATAGCAGACAAATATTCTAAGATTGATCAGTAGAGTTATGGTTGCGAATTATTGGGGAAAAGAAGGCTTGTATTTTTCGAAAACACAGTTCACGATAATTTTATGGTTTCTAGTTTAAGATAAATAATTTAAGCAGTAGTTCTAAATTCAAAAGTGGCGGAGAACCGCTTGAATAGGAGTATTCAGTGAGATACAAGGCTTCAAAAAATTAGTAAAACTAGGGATTGGACGAGCACATGACGGCGTAACTTACATAAAGGGGTATTTCGACGAGCGTCCAAATGTATGTCCATTAACGTGCGTGCCGTACTCCCTATGAAGACCGGATTTCGACCGGAGAGCGCCCTCAAGCTATCCTTGAGGAACACAGTTCATCCCATAGTAATCTCAGATACCATTTCCTTCGTGAACTATGCGTTCAAACCAACCTATTGGCTACATTACTTACGGTCAATAGTTATATGATTCTGGTCAAAAAGTTAACGATTAATATATCATCCTCCTAAAGTCTTGGATACCGCCGAACTCTTAATTTCCATCACCTTCGTTATAGGTACAGCTATAACCGTTCGAGGGGGGACGGAACATATGAGCGTCCGAGGATGCGTGCGATGTTCGTGCCGGATTGAACGACTTCAGGACTCACCATTGGGATCCAAATTTAGGTTAGAGTAGATTAGTAGGATCAGCTGATCCTATTAATCCACTCTATTTAAAATTTGGACCACAACGATAGGATGATAGGCGACAGGCGCTAAAGTCGTCCCAATCACCATGAGTTTGGCCGCGCAATTTTCTGCGTACATCCTCGGACGCCCGTACCCATACCCTAGTTCGAGTGGTCATGAATAACAAAAATTAGAAAAATGTTGTTTAATATTTAAACGTTATTTATTTACCTGTACTAGATTTAAAGGAAGCCGCTGAGTACTGTTCTTCATCAAAGACAATGTTCGGGATAAAAGCTGTTTCTAAGGTTTGTCCTGAGGATGAACCTGTGGCCCGAAAGTGCGGTAGAAGGGACGTTGTGATGCTTAAAGGCACAGTTAACGATAATTTTAGACCAGATTATGACGAAAAATGGAAGATTTGACGGAAAATAGTGCGATGAAGGCGAAAAAACTGTGTGAATCGGTGTTTCCAGAGTGAAAAAAGGCTTCAAAAAATCGTTAAAAAGGGGGCTGGACGAGAAGAGACCAGAAAAACGAAGAAGAGCGGGGCATTTGGACGAGTTATACAATTGTGTCAGTGCGTAAGTGTGACTAGAATAAGGATCGCGGCAGCAAAAAGAATAAAAGGGAATAAAAGTATGGGAGAAAAGCATCGCATCATCACTCGGCGATCAACTGATTGTGTGGAACCAATATTGCAATCTGTACGTTTCGACACTCGTCTGACGTGACATCGATCGAGGGGCGGGAAGTCCGCGCGAGCCAGTAACGGGGCTCCCACTATGCCCTCACCGTTGAGTTCTTGGGTGCGAGAGGGTCCTCCTTATTACCCTTAAGGGCCACTGGGTATTCTTAGGGGGAGAACTCAGTAACCATTTCTATCGTGAACTGTGCCTTTGAAGACGGTCTAGACAGGGCGTAATAAGGGCTCCAAGGGTAGTCAGGCCAACGTACACATCCAAAGCGGTCTTGTTATACCGGTCATGTTGAGAGTGCACTGTTTTCACTATACAGGGTGGCTACGATGTATCGTCCGCCAATTGTACACGTGTTGCGATAGCCTATGAATTTCTGTTCAAGGTGTATGACACATACATTAGGTGAAGCAAGACAAACATGTTGTCGTCGACGCCGAACAAATGTAATGTTATAATTTAGTATAACGTTAAATGTTAATAGATTTGAACGAAGAAAGATATTTCAATTAAGCCTCTTCGCGGCAGTTATGTATGTAAACGTTTGTCAACGCCGACAAAATATAAGACTCTCCGCGGCAGCTATGTATGTAAACGTGCTAAGGGCAATGCTATAAAAGTGTCGGTGCAACGAGAGCGGGGTTTTCTTTCGACGTCTTCTTCGACTTCTTCTTCAGGCGTGAACCACCGGAGCTGTTCCCATCTATCAAGTCTTACTTTGTCGAATAAAGTATTATTGTCTACGAGTGTTTGGCCATCCCACGCAACCGCAACAAACTGGCGAGTACTTCTACCATAATCATTGATATGGTGCATCGGCAGGGAAGGATACAGGAGCAGCGTACTCTATGTAGTCACAGAAGGAAGTATAAAGGCTGTGAAGTCGAACAATGATGAACAATGTATGCTGTGTACCGAAATTTGCTGGGATGGCGTTCCTACGTTGGACGAGCTGTGGTCGAAGATGGTATAATACACAGTAAGGCTCACGTTACCGGGAGGAGTTGCCTATGGCTGCCGAATGGCAGAAAGATCCAGCCTGCGCTGTACTCGGTCACTCGGGATCTTGTGACCTGGGGTGAGTTGTCCAACATCCCAGGGCTCAGAGATGGAGAAACGATCGGGGTAATGCTTGTGAACCATGAAGAGACCCAGCTTTTCACCAAGCGGGTCTTTAAGACCATGGAAGGGTATTTTCTTGCGAGTATGCCCGGTAGGGAATACTGTCGAGTGACATTGTCAGGCTCCCCCTTTTACGTCGCGCGAAATGGAAACTTCAGATCAGCCGGCGTACTGGGTGACGTACTGATTAGTCAACAAATGCAGGATGGGATACTATATGGCACCGACCATTATGACATCCACGTGGTCCCAGTGGGTAGCCATGTTACGTATGAGCTGGCGCATCCGGTAGCCGAAAGAACCCATAAAGCTGTGAACAGGCGCGAGAAGCTTTGAAAGAGAAGAAGAAAGCGCTCACAACTATGCCAACAAATGTAATAGCGACGCACCTTATAGAGTTGTTGAATGAGAATAAGGTGTACGCAATGAGGCTTACGTCCAAAGTGCGGCTTGAGTACCGTAGAGTTAATGCTTTGGTTACTGTAATAACTCACGGGTGTTTGGCACACCGCCTGGTTAATGAACCACGCTATTTGGATAGATATGCAATAGTAATAATGGATGAAGCACATGTGAAACAGTTTGAGACTATGTTGCTTGTGAAATGCACGTACCAGGCCGCTGAATGTCGGAAGGGCACCCTGAATAAACTTCACGTGGTTTACATGTCTGCAACGTTGAGAGTGTGGAAGGAAAGAGGATTGAAGAGAAATGTGACAGCCAATCAAATTACATCATCACTGACCACGGAATCAAAGCCGTTGATGAGAATGAAGCACGCAACAAAGCTGATGGTGCTCACCTTACCAAAGCCGGAGAGAGGTTGAGCGTATTGTACTTGGTGCCTGCGGCAGAGGGCAGTTGGGAGCCAAGAAAGTCGTGAAGCGGCTGGAACGGAAGGCTCGACGCTCAGAGGTACCACTAGCTAGAAGCACGTATGACGTAGCCATTGTTAGGCTCAATGAGTTCAAGGAAAGTCGGAAGATCATAGTGGCAACGGATATAGTGGAGGTGGGAGCCAACCTGAACATTGACGTTTAGGTGGTAAGAGGACGCACAGTTGCTTCGATGGCCACGTGAGAATGAGCACTAATCAGGCTTCATGGACGCAGCGGCGTGGTCGCGTAGGGAGACAAAAACCCGGTTAGTATCAATCGTGGGGAAGAGAGAAAAGGAAGAGTTTTGTGGATGTTGATGATGCTTGCCTTCTGGGCATGTCCATGGGTGCTATGATATTTGAAAATAGTCGTGATTTATTTGGTGAAATGGAAATGCGCATGCCTTCCCAGGTTCAGATACATCAAGAAGTGCTGCGAAAACATGTGGTCATGATAAGCCATACTGAGGTGGAGCATGAATATGCGGAGGAGGATCGCTGAGGGATAGATATGAAGATGCTTCGCATCCTTGGAAACAAAGGCATTCTTTTGCGCTTCTGCAGGAGAGCGAATGTGTCTAACAACTCAATGTTTGCGAAGGGCGGAGGTGACAAAGGAAAGAATCCTTAGCATGGGAACAAGGTATATGATTATGGGCCTACTTTACGAGTACATCATGGAGCTCAGTGATGAATCGGAACTTCAAAAGAAAGAATTCCTAAGGCGTAAACGCGAATACCCTTTTGGAACAGATGAGATTAAGGACTTGGTCATCAGCCAACGTGACGTTTTCAATGCAGAAATAGAGGACATGACGGAGCTGCTAGACATGACGGAGCTGCTAAAAGCCAAGAACGAGAAGTGAAGTCGTTGATTCCTACAACGAGCTCCCAGGTTTAGGATTCTTGAAAAGGAACTCAAGTTTTTTCAGGATCAACTGGCCTTCTCTTGCTTGGAATTTGAGAATTTCGGTAAAGCTATAGAAGATAAAAGTTGGAACTGGCCAAGCTCGGAAAAGAATCAGAAGAAAAGAAGAAGCTAGTAAGCTCTGAAGAGCACAGAGTAAAAACGTAGAGCCCAGAGTAGAAGAAATTGCGCCGGCAAGGGTTCATGAAAAGGGTATGATAGCGAGGCAGGCGGTCTAGTTGATGATCGGCATTACTGGGAAAGAATGGTGAATGAAGTTGCAGATGAATCTAGCGAGGACGACTACTGACCAGCGGATAGCGAAGAATCTAGCGATACGAATACCGACCAGTGGATGGCGAAGAATCTAACGATGAGAAGTACCAATCAAGGGATGGTGAACTGACTCCGAAAGGTCGTAGGATCGAAGCGTCAGAACCAATTATGTGGAAAAGATGGCGTAGGCGCTAGATGATCTCAAACGCTTTCCACTCAGAAATCGCAGAGATCAATCGTTCGGAATTTCCGCGTGGAAAAGGTGAGCGTTCTGTGAAGCTGAAGGAGATCATTTCTCCAATGCATGCCCTCGCATATGTAATGGGATACCCTCTTAAGAATCATCGAGGAAAAGGGTCGGTGTAAGCATTGTTTGGAAGGCCCTGATGGCCACGAGTGTCGATACCGCACGCGTGAATGTTTTTATTGTTTTAAGTTGATTGATACAGCCTTCGAAGATTTGCTTCGACCATCGAGCTGTGTGCAATGATCCCGCTAAGAAATACATTGCGGTCGCACACACTCAAGAAATACAAAAGCAGCTGTGGAGGCTGAAAGTCGCAGCTGCAAAGAGATCGCAGGGAAAGTGATATCACGAAAACGTTTGTCAATGCCGATGAAATATACGACTCATCGCGGCAGCTATGTATGTAAACGTGCTAGGAGCAATGCTATGAAAGCCTCATGCGACGTGAGCAGGTCTTCTTTCAACGTCTTCTTTAACTCCTTCTTCAAGCGTCAACCGTCGAAGCTGTTCCCATCTACCGAGTCAACGTCTTACTATGTCGAATAAAGTATCAGTGTTCACGAGTGTTAGGTCATCTCACACATCCGCAACAAACTGGCGAGTATTTCTACCACAACCATTGATACATGTACTGCTGTGAATATATCGTAACTCCTGAATCAACCTTCGTTAAGAAATACGATTGTTTCCACATCCTGCAACTATCGCGCGCCCGCCCAACGGTTTTCTTTTGTTGAGATCTTGAGCAGATTTCATATCAACGACAGAACAGTGAGAAGAACAGTTGCATAATACGAAAAACGACGACATCATCCGTCACCTTCGAATGTGGGCCGGTCAAGTGCTGTCAATGTTCCGCGGATCCAACGATTATCAAGAAAATGATTTATCCAACAACGAAGTCGGTTTTGAAAGAATTGCTCCAAATTTTTATATGTCGCGTAGAGGTGTTCAGGAGGTTGTTAAACAAAATCTCGATTTACATAGTTATTGTTTCTTCCAAGAACAGACGTCGATCGCAGCTGCGAATAAGAATAATCTCGAAAAGTGCAGAAAACTCCTCTCATTAGACTACGTGGCCTCCTTCCTTTCGAACTTGTATAAAATGTAACGATTTAAAAAGTTCTACTATCAAAGTTGTTCAGAGCAGGCAGAATCATCGGCAGCTGCTTTCGCGTGCCAAATTTACTCCAGAAAATGAAGAGCAAGCAGCGGAAGCTTGTTTCCTAGGACAGATATAGTTTGGGCCGGGACAACTCTGAAGGCAAAACTCCCCTCATTGTTGCGGATAGAAACAATAAAATCAACTCTGAAACTTACTAAAATGGTAGTCTGAAAGAACTCTAACGAAATGAGCTCAATAAATCTTTGTATGGCGGAATTGGAGCAGACTCGCCAGCGATGGGCGGAACGTCTCAAGGATGGGCGGCACTTTCTATACAAGTTCACACTCGATACAGCGAAGGCCTGGAGTTCAGAAAAAATACGATCGGGTAAAATCTTTCATTAGCTAGGCACCCCTGATCTTGGCCAAGCTCCGCCTACGGTGGGCGTGGCGTGATAGAAACATTTCCAAAAAAATCTTGAACTTGGTTCAAAAGCGTTCGAGAATGCGGAAAGGTGGGGCCTACACCGAAGTCGGGGGAGCTCTGTTCAAAACATACTTGAAAGCGAAAAACGGTCAGAAGCATTCAAAAGAAGCGTGATAAAATCCTCACTATGGAGGGTCTCCATTTAGGTAGCTTTCATCAAGCACTCATAACCTGATTTAAACGATCCAAAAACGGAAAAAAATGCGTAGAGGCTGCTGAAGGAAATCAACAGTGTACATATGAGCTCAGGATGATCCGTCTCTGTTTCATGCGTTTCTGTCGCGACGCACGCATTAATGTTCGGAGCCCAATTGGTTGCTAATGAAGCGTCAGTAAAGTACGCTTGTGGGCGACACCCAGACGGTTACAGGTTGCGGTCTCACACAACCCCCTTTTCTGATACTTTCTAAAGCCTTATATTTTTTGAAACCCGACGATTTTCCTCCTAACCTACTCCAAGTCTGTGCCTCGATAATAGGCGCCAGAGTCGGTCGAATCGCCACGAATTTCGCTGCGCAGTTTGCCTCGCGCAGTTCGAGTCGCACGAATGCGCCCATACCCGGATTTTAGAGAATACAAGGTTTAAAAAAAACTAGTCAAAAGGGGACTTTCACGACTTAAGGATGACAGAAATGACAAAGAATAGGTGTTTTGACGAGATGCCGGTCGCTGCAATAGCGTAAAGTGTTGGCTACAAATGGTAAAATGTCATAATTTGCCTTTCTTCAAGCGCATTCATGGTATCTCTGTATAATTTATGGCATAAAAAGCTGCTTCCTTGAAAAAAAAGACATTTGATCCCAGGTCAAGTGTTCATGCGCGAGCGAGTTATTCGTCGGCAACCTAACGTATCACTGTGAACTAATCGGACGTGCGGCTAACGCCGGTTACTCCTCCTTCTCGTTTCAAACTTGACCTGCCTGCATTTTGACAAGTTCAAAAGCTCTGGTCCAAGAGAACAGGAGCTATTGATTTCTAGCGAGACACATACCCACATACATACTGAGACACTTCGTGTGCACCCTGCCTGCCATGACGAAGTCCTACTCAAGTCCTGTGTGTTCAAGTATCATGATTCATTCCCCTCTCATTTCGATTTTGCTGCGTATTTTCACTCAAGCTGATCTCATTTTAGGCAAGGTTTGCTTCCTCCATCAACCCTATGCTCCCACGAGCGAGATTCTGTTTTCTCACTTTCTACGACCTACCATCGGTGTCCTAAACTTGCCGTCTGTTCTTGTGCTGAATTTGAACGCCCTACGCACGAATCAGAAACTTTCGGGCTTCACCTCTTAGGGGTGGAGTGAGGCCGTGCCACCACCCATCACCATTTCCATCTTACGCCAATTCAAGTTTGGTAGGGGTGAACTTCAAATGAGCATTTTCGCGGAGTCTGGTCCTAACACCTCGCTCGAAATTTTATTTCGCGCAAACCCCAACCGTTTTGGGTTGAGCCCAGTCCTGCCACTTATCATGAATGTTTTCCATCCTGTCGCCTGTACTCCTACCAAAGTTGAATGGCTAGGTCCAGTGGGACAGCTATTGTTAATTTCCGATTAGACAAACACACACACATTCCAAAAAAAANAAAAAAAAGTACCTTTCCTCCTTTCACCATTTGAAAGCCTTTAATCCATAAAATAATAGTCGTTGAATGTTGACAGTGACAAGTGATTGACGGCAGTCTGGGCAGTTTATTCTTTCCGAAAGCCAGGCAAATTGACTAAAGGCAACTAGCAGTTTGAAGAAAGGTAGAACTCAGAAATTCTATTACATTTGAAATAAGCGATGTGGGCCATGTTCAGTGGCGCGCTACCGCGTTTTCTCCTTAATCATATCAGAATTATTGCTACAACTAACTAATAGGAATCAAAAACTGTCTCTGGTAGTTGCCACCTAAAAGTTCCCTGTCCGAAATTATGGTTATGTCTGAATGATTGCAAGGTCACCCAGAGTTTTTTCTACCATGTTGTGAGGAAGGGGCTCTGAGAATTATGAAGATTGGGAGGACTCTATCATGAACCATTAGAATGGAAACTTTTGTAGCTTGTAGAAAAGACTCTGGGTGACCTTGCATTCATTAGACATATCCATAATTTCGGACAGGAACTTTTAGGTGGCAACTACCAGAGACAGTTTTTGATTCCGGGTATGTGTACGAACGTGCGTCCGAGGATGCGCGCGGCAAATTGCGCGGCGAACTACGTAATGATTGAACGACTTTGGTGCCTATCATTGGGGCCCAAATTTGAAATAGAGTGGATTAGGAGGATCATCTGACCCTACTAAACTACATTACTTCGAGTTTGTGCCCCGAAAATTGGCGCCGCAGTCGTAAAAATCGCCACGAACTTCGCCGCGCAATTCGCCGCGCGCACCCTCGGACGCACGTTCGTACCGTCCCCCCCCCCCCCCCCCCANTGCGCGCGTGCAGCAGGTGGGTTCCGGGCGGTGTTAGATCTACGAATTTACAGAAAGGTATTGTCTCCCGTCTGCAGGTCACAAGAAGAGAACTGTGCGGTACTCTTGTGTTACGTGGGCTTAATTTTGCTTTCTGGAAGTCGGATCGTTATATCGCTTCTACCCTGGGAGTAGACTAATATTCTTCAACAGATTCGCTTGAAAGAGTTAAGCGCCCGACGTACGCATTCACACAATCCTACCTCCCACACCGTTATGTGTGCCTGTTGGTTAGTGTGTTCGTGAAATTTGACATATCGGAGTTATAGCATTCAACTTTAGTAGGGGTACAGGCGGCAAGATGGGAACACTCATAGAACGTGGCACGGCTGGACTCCGCTCAAAGGGAGCTGGGCCTGTGTGAAAATTGTCGTTTTGGACTTAGAAGATCAATTGTGTTAGGGGTGCACGCGAGAGAATGAATGATCCTAGGTGGCAGGATCGGGGCGAGACGTGCTAATTTTAGTACAACTATGCCCAATCTGGAGTAAGTGAGGAATGAACCCAGTTACTCATACTCACGTGACTTGAGCAGGACTTCGCCCGGACCGGCTGGGTGCCCAGTGTGTCAGGAGCTTGTGTGGGCATGTGTGTGTGTGTGTATGTGTAAGCGCATGTATTCATAACCCCTGTTTTCAATGTGTGCTGCTGGAGGCCGCAATTCATAACCTCCGTTTTTCTGTTGTAGAGCATCCAATGCGAAAAGGATGCGGGAGGTAGGCCAAATTAAACCAAAAAGGGATAGCTTCGAGTGATACAATGGGTATTTTATAGAGAGACATGATGCAAACCTCCAAAAATGCAAGCGAACCGTGATGGAGTAAGGCAAATCACTTTTAAGACTCATAAGGTCATTCGCTCCCTTTTCAATAGTTCGTCGTCGTCGACTAACCTACGCCTTCATTACCCAACGTTCGGATAGGAAGGCTCCACGGCTCGCTGCTTCGAGACACCGACTTCAATCCAGATCGATGTTCATGATGAAATTTTAGTGTAAAACTTGACTGGTACTTTTTAACTGTAAGCGTCTGCTTCGGAACTCTGAAACCATGCTGTTGTGAATAATAGTCAGTACGGAATACTTTTTAGGCTCTTCAGGGTTTGTGGTTGTCGTTGTTTCGCTGTGAATCATGTACAGCAAGCACTAAATATGAAGGCACCGAGTCAACGCAAAACCATGGAGGTTTCCATTCTCCGTAGTTTTCTCCTGAGCAACTCATACAAATGTATGTATTTCAAATGTCATATGACTATTGAAGCAGCTTGTTGAAGCTCCTGGGGAGGACCATTTAATTTTCAAAAAGTCTTCTGCCGTGCTTCACTTCGATGTGCATCGTCCTGTTCAAATCCAATTCAGTCGCTGTTAGCAAGTTTTCGAGAATACTGCAATTCTAAACAGTTGTGAGGCAATGCAAACTTTTTATCCGTTGAATAGCTCTTGCGCTCCAATCAATCTGTGTAAATTAGTTTCTTCTTTTCTCAGGATCACAAGTGTCTGTCCAAAAATGCCATCCTCCCCATTTTCAATCGTACAGCTGTGGGGCGTGGCCTCGGTTTCAGTCATGTATGTGCTGCTTCAGCTAATAGTTCTCGCAAGTGCACAACTCACAGACAACTGTGAGTCTGAAACTATTGTGTTCCCTCTTTTTCAATCACTATTCTCTTTTTACCGACTGATATTCCTTCAGCTGAATTGCCTGTTATACCCAGTCGCTCAAGCGTGGCCGATGTCGATCTTGGAAAGTTCGGTATCAATGACGAACAGAAACTGTTTCGGTGAGGGAAAAGATTTTTAGTGGGTCTACATTTGAAAACCACAGATATTCGCAGCTCTGTCGTCTTGCAGGTATTTGCTGCAGGGCTACGATAAGGCTGTGCGGCCAGTTTTCAACGCCAGCGATATCGTCAAAGTGTACATTGGCCTTACGTTAACACACATCTTCAATATCGTGAGTCCGCAATGCATCCTGACTGGATTTTGAGGGATAAAATACATTAGAAGACGGGTTGTAGAAGAGACGACCTCCATTCAGTAGCCTGAATCATTAAAAACAACAGTTGTAACTATGTCAGGTAGTTTTCATTCACCAATTCCACTTTACCATGAGTCATGAGTGCTAATCCGAGGATTCCGAGAGGCGAAACGAATTGCTTTGGAAAGTCATTAACGAACAATATGGGTCCCTTCGAAAGAGCCGAAAAACAGGATGTCATCTGTGCTAATGGAAAATAGATCTTCTAGGACTAATTTGAGTCATACCTCTCTAAAGGGAACAAATTTTCTCAATTAAGCTTTTTACTGCATAGAATATTCGGCTTCCTTCATTTTCGATGGTTTTGCATTTTCATTCCACATGCAGTGCAATTACTTACGTATCTGAATCACATCGATACCATTCACTGCTCCGTCGTGCTATGATACCTTTTTAAAATATCATTCATTCTGTTTTACAGTCGATGGGTGTTGAATTCGTCTAAAATTTCGTTTGGCATGAATGTAGAGGTGTCAGGTTAATGCCACCTGGTACTTGAGCCGGATGGGGGGAGAGGAAAAGGCTGGCGCAAGTATTTGAGCTCTTGCGTAGTTGCCGCGTGATCAGAAAGTCAAATGGAGTAGTTCGAGAGCAGCAATCCTTTTCGTTACAAGAGAAATGAGCTTCTTCAGAGTGCATAGGACTTCTTCTGGTCCAGAACTAGTAGCAAACTTCATAGTTCCCCTACTAAGCGACAATCTGAGGCGCTGAGTGCAAATACTGAGAGGACTCGCAGCTTCATCATTCGAGGAAGTAAGATGTTTGAAGAACAGGCATCGAACTCTTACATCAAGCAGTGAATTCGTGAGTAGGAACAATAGACCCAAAGGTGACATAAGCTCGAATGAAATTGTATGAATCTCATGAACACGTTCAGATTGCTTCGTGTATACCTCGCATTCCCACGTTTCCGGTTTGCCCCGTCGTTGGCCCACTTTGAGCTCATAACCAAGTTCCATTCACTTGCTCTGTAAATTAAGATTTTGTGGAGTGGCACGGGTTCCGAGTTGTTCGACAATCGATGGAAGACATTCTGGTGATATCCTTAATTCTTAGGCAAAGTTATGGCAGGCGATAATGGTCTTAGCCTGATATGACGAACGTCAAGGTGTCATTTGCTGGGAGATCGCCCATTCCTTTCACTACCTTCTACTTTTTGCTGATATTGAGAGATACTTCTGAAATCGTGAGCATTCCACACTTTAAGCATTTTGCCAGTGCGAGAGAGGCCACCCGCTTGGCACAGACCTAAGTTTCAAACAGATAAGCCTCTACGAATCACAGAGGAAGAATCATCAAAACCAAACCTAACCCTCAAAAAAAAGTTAAAAATCATCAAAATCAAACCTAACCCTCAAAAAAAGTTAAAAATCATCAAAACCAAACCTAACCCTCACAAAAAAGTTAGAAAAAACTCACAAAAAACTGTTTTGAACAACGCGAGTTTCATCGATGCTTGTTCTTGCTCTTGCCATATTTCAAGAGCATTATTCGATTTTAAGGAGCCGGGATTCTCTTCTACTGCTTTTGTGAAGACATCAGGAATACGTACAGTTGTGAAAAATTACAGTGATACCCATGAACAGAGAAGCGCTCTGAACGTTCGGTTCTCAAAGTGTGAACATGTGAATGACCGAATACTTGTCCCATATCAAAGAAGGCTAAACGATAGTGTCTACGATATTCTTAATACTAGCCACGGAGATACCACCCGATGTAGACCTTTATCACGTGAAGCCGAAATGCTCCTCTAAGAACAAGACAAGCTCTCCCAATCTCGAGTTGATGGCCGCTCATTCAGTTTCTTTGTGGACGCAGCCAATCTCACCGTTGTTCTGAGACTTCATATCCTCTTCCCTAGGGTTGATAGTAGTGCTACCTCACACATCTGGGGTTCTTTCTTCAGCAGATACGGTCTTCAGGGACCGAATGAGCATCAAGGTCCATGCCCCTCCAAGCCTTAACGAGTATCTTTCAAAAACAATCGCATTCTTAACCTTCATCCCGTACCCTTCTGCTCGGTGCAAGTCATCCTCTACTCATGCTATGATGTGGGAGCTTTTCAAAGAATTCTGCCCGCCCACGTTAGATCTCGGCTGCCATCTTGAATGTGGCAACACTGTTCCTTGCGACCTTCACAAACCCACGAACTTTATGTTCTGGAAGCTTGATGTCGGACTTTTCCAACCTGATGATGAACTTCTATCCTCTACACCATCGCGTTTTTCGAGCAGCAGCGTGATCTTTGTCTTCCTTACGACAGGCTTGGCAAGCCTCGTGCAACTGTTACCGTCAGCTGAGTCTTCTTGAGCTCGCTTCTTTGCCCAGCGTCTGTACGCCGCTTGCTTCTTTGGAAGTTATTCAAAGAAAAGATAGAGGTACGCGATCAAGAAAAGCCTCTACGAATCCGAGGTAACGTCAGGAAATGGCGTAGACCGGAGAAAGTTACGACAACAAGAAAGAACAACGGATCCTGCATGGATTCCGAATTGCCCTTCTCATAAACTGATTTCACAGCTGATTCAGATGCGAAAGGATACATCGCTTTTAGAAGCTGTTTTCAAGCCGCCTTTGGAGGATTGAGAACAAAGTATATGGATCGCGTCGTCAACGTATTATGCCCGGGAACTGCTGTCAAGACCATATTCCAATTTCGGAGTTGTTCTGCATTCTGTGGAAACAGCAGTTGTGCTAAGGGAACGCTGAGCTTTTTTTCACATCTTCGTCTAGTTGGAGGACTACACACAATAGACAATAGACAGAAAAACAGCAATAGACAACAACAACCAACGATAAACAACAAACTATTGAACACGTTCTGGATGTGGGTTTCTTTCATGAAGCTGACATCGGAATTAGAATTATCACATTTAATATTCGGATGAAAAAAAATTGGACTATGTCGTACACTGCGTGAGCTGAAAAAGTTATACTCACACAAAAATAAGTTGACGAGATCGGCTGTTTNCATAATACGCCAGCCGGCTCGCAAGTGGGCGCGCACCGTCCAGTGGCGGCGCTTGCCTCTTGTTTACAACTGAATCTTCATCGTTACCGCAGGCCGAGCAGTCCTGCGGTCTCGCCCGGAGGCTAGCCGGCGGACTATGAAAGCAGCCATTCACAGAGGTGGGATTCCGACGTTGAGCGATTACTTTTTGCAGGACGAGCGAAATCAGGTGTTGGCGCTAAATGTGTGGGTGGAGCAGTCCTGGCTCGACGAGAGAATTCAATGGGAACCGCAGAAATTTGGGAATCTTTCGAAACTTACTCTCCCTGTGAAACACGTTTGGACCCCCGATATTGTGTTGTATAACAAGTAAGTCTTTTCTTTTCTGTAATGTGGACCCTCCTACTCAAGACCCGGGTAGCATCAGTTTTTATCCATTTGAAGTCCTGTAATGGGGGATGGAGTGCTGAGAGTTCCACATCTCGTGATAATCCACTATAGATAGTGATCTTGCTGGAGCGGATATGATCCTATACTATTGGGAGACCATCAGTAGGATCGGTTTTGTGTAATCGATCCGCCACACGCTACTGTCGCGGACCATTTGCCTCATTATAACAGTTCTAGCGTTCTCCATACAGCTCAATCGCTATGTGATTTTTACTTCTGACATGATTTTACAATGTCTGTTGGTGTGTCGGTGTGTGTGTGTGTNTTTTTTTTTTTTTTTTTGACCGCAAATTCCTAATTTCTAATCCCGTGGACCTAGAGAGTTCAGATTTGGGATTTGGTAGGAGCACGGGAGCAGAATGGGAACACCCATGGCAGCTAGCAGGACCCGACTCCGACTATAAGAGGCAGTTCGTGTGCGATAGAAATTTTCGACCGCAAATTCATAACTCCTGTTCACGGCCGAGAGCGCTCAAATTTGGGAAGGGTACAGGCGGCAGGATGGGAACACTGATGATAGGTGATGGGAGGTGATGACAATTGCAAGGAATTGGTCAAGAGCCTTATGAGGCGAGAGGCGTAGGATCCATTACCTCCTTCGTGTTAACAGCGGAGCCTTGGCGCTTTAGTAGGGGGTGTGGATTAAGAAGAGAGCTAGGTGTTCAATGATAAGGGTTGATAATAACTGTTAGAGAATGATAACGAGCCATAGAAGACGAGAGCCATCAGGTTGTTGAGGTCTTTCATATAAACGGTGGAGCACTATCGTAAGTGGTGTGGGATGTGAAGGGATCGAAGATGATTGATGGCAAGGACTGATAACAAGTGTATGGAGCATTAGAGATCAGTTGAAAGCAACGCCTATGGCATCTTTCATAGTCCACGATTTTGCGAGCGACCAGTCGCGCGAATGATCGCCAGTCGCTCGCGAGATGGGTCCGCGACCGGTCGCGCGACTGTTCATGCGACTGGTCGTGGACTACGAAAGCAGCCTATGTGCGGTGAGCGCGACAGGAAAAGCCTACCGAGATTAGACCATCCGAACATTTATCCCTACTGCCCAATGAAGTGAAAATGATATGCAATAAAATAAATATATAATTGAAATAAAGCAATTCTCAACAGCTCGAAAAGAATGAGACGACTAAAACTTTTTTTAGTGCCCGTGATTTCTCGAGAGGTTTCGTCGACACGAACCTTCATGCAAATTACTATGGAGAATGTGGGTCTCGCATCACTTTTTTTTTTTGTTCTGAATCACTTGCCATTCGGACGAGGCATTTCAGTGCAATGGGCGCCGCCACAGAAAATCTACAGTCGCTGTCACATGGATGTGGCCAAATTTCCATTCGATCACCAGTTTTGCTCGCTTATTTTCCGATCATGTATGATTTTTTTCAAATAGTACTCTTCTTGAAAGAAAAATACCACTGCTCAGGGATTTATGACACAACTCAGCTTGATCTGATGATTTTGGAACGATACGATGGAAAGTCGCCATTCACCAAGGACTCCTTCACTGAAAATGGCGAGTGGGAGATCGTTGAAAATCGCACATTTCGCTATCAACAACACAGCGGCAACACTAAGTTGGATTCAGACTGGAATGCCTTTTGATATGTTGCCTTTTAGGAACATTTTCAGATTTGCGACAGTAGTTTTCGAACTCCATCTACGTCGAAGAACTCTGTTCTTTATGTACAACATCGTTGCACCATGTGTAATGCTTTCGGTAAGTTACTCGAAACTACAAGGATAAAGTATTGTCTTTCGGCGTCAATCAAGCCTCCGTGAGGGATGCTTTCCCACATTGGACCTATATTAAGAATCGTGGTAGCTCAATGAATGCGTACATATGTGGTCTTCACAGTGACTGGTGGTGGCTAGCCGATGTACAAGTCAGTGCTTCTATCCTCCTAGACGGATCTGGTACCAGTTGACCGGAGTCATGCAAGGCTGGTTGGCATAGGCGGATATCGACCCAGGATTCGAACACGGGACCTTGCGCATGAGATAGGCCACTTGCCACTACATCACCTGTGCATAAGTGAAAGCTAAGCAAACTGATAACTTTTTGGGTTTAAATGGTGATTTGAAAGCGTCTACCGAAAAAAGAAGGAAGCCGTCTTCGATATCTGCTACCAATTACCTTACTGTTCCTAGGTGTATGTGCAGAGCTCGCAGCCCTCCAAATTTCGAAAGCTGTTGTTGTTCCTGTTGTTGTTGTTGATGTTGTTGTTGTTGTTGTTGTTGTTGTTGTTGTTGTTGTTGCTGTTGTCGTTGTTTCCATATTTTCCAGTCCAGTAGCCCAAGTGGGCTTCTTATTCATCAAGTCTTTTAGAGAGCATTGGTTGTAAAAAAGATTATCAGAAGTTTCAGCCCTTTGTTATTCAGATCCTGACAATGATGCAGTTTCTTTTGCCCTGTGAAAGCGGCGAGAAGGTCACTCTTGGGCTCACAGTGCTGCTTGCGTATTCTGTATTCAGTTTCAATATAGCCGAAAGTATGCCTGAAACTTCAGAAGTGATCCCACTCATCGGTGAGAGTTGCGCTTGAATCGATAACAATTACTACGCTTAGCACGTCGTTACTTTGCTCCAGCTATCTACTTAATGGCAATTATGGGCATATCGGCCTTGTCGGTGAGCTTCTCGGTGTTCGTTTTGAATCTACGTCACGGAGCCGATTATTCTGAAAGGTAGGTACATTTATATCTAATATTTTTATCAAAAGTAGTGCTAATAAGCACATATAGCATGTATGAACATGTGTTACCTATACTAGCTGTTCTTTTTGACTGGCCATTCTGTCAACGCTTCCCAAAATAAAGGCTTGATATCATCGGCCCGCGAACGTCTCTATGTTTTCAAAGCTAGCATGAGTAAAAGAGTTGCTTAATGGCAGTGTATCGCCTGTACCTCATCATCTCCTATTAGACATAATTCTCAACGTCTTCCATCGTATCGACAGGTATGGCTGCTTTCATAGTCCGCCGGTGTGCCGAGGCAAGTGCTAAGGGGGGAGGGGGGGAGG